TCTCCATCCAATATGCCTAAATTATTAAGCTGCATTAAGAGTAGATGCTTGTGCTAAGATTTTTATTTTTTAGATCCTCTAAAATATTAATAGCTTTCCATGTAGTAAATTTACAGGAATTCCCAGATAGCACTTGATGTTCCTTTTCAGTTGTTTCTAGTCTGTGATACTTTCTGGTCACATCATCTTACTCCACAGTTTGTGCAATGGCTAGAATATATACTCATTAATACTTCAGACTTGATCCTGTTGGTTAAAATATCTTTGATGGGTCTGCATCATCATCATGTGGCCTTTTGTGAAAAAGTGACATCTTGTCTTTTCAGAAAATTTCTCTTCAATCTAAAAAAATCAGGGCAGTGTAGAATAAGAAAGCAACTATCAGAACTATTAAAAAAACTGCTGAGAGGTTTACAAGAATAGATTCCAAATTATTTCTTCCATCTCTGTCTCCTGACATATAGTTCATCAGAGTAATTGAAGTAGTTTCTCTGTAAAGGATGAAATCCGATGGAAGTGGATTCTCATAATTAATCTCATCCAGTATTATTTAGAGCCCTTTGCCTCTAGTGACAACGGTTTTTAATTTAAAAAGTCTGAGATAATGTATCTTTATAATGGCTTGCAGTTGTCCAGCAGTTATATCTAAAGCAGTGTTTGAAGTTTCCTGGAAACAGAGAAACCTGCATTTGCTCATCTCTGTCTATAAAAATTGGGATATGTAGATATTGAGCAATAGCCATATTTCTGCCAAAGACTAAAATTAAATCATTTCTGTGTTCAGCTGTGACAGCTACTTCATGCTTGGTCTGATTGCTGTGTTCATGATTGTGTGCTACGGCCTTTAAAAATGTTTACATACTAGAATAATGAATCCTAAGACCTGTCAATACTGTAGAGTCCCTGGTTAATGATATGTTCTTTCTTCTTATGTGCATTGTGATGCAGATGGGCTGAACCAAATTCTCTTTTGATAATGGTGTGTGATTTGTATCTTGCCTGCTGCATCAAATGTGGTGCACAGCCTCAATTTCATAGCAAAAATGCAGTTAGCAAGCTTCCCTATTTCCTCATTGCAGACCAAATTTTTAAGAAAAAGTGTGTGTGAGGGGGGAGGAATTGGTTTCTCTGTATGTGCATCAAACCTTTGAGAATGTTGCTTTGGGAGTAACAAGCTGTACCTCCTTTTAGCAGTGATAATAGGCTACAAAAGACACATTACTCCTCCAAGGAAATTCTTTTCACCACTTAATCTTAATTTAAGTTGTGAATTGAAAGACTTTTTCAACTGGTGCCCAGGTTGAAAGATCTATTCTGATTCCCAGTTACTTTCCAGGCCCAATTTAAAGTTTTGACATTACATTTTAAAACTCTAAAATGGCTTATGGCCATTTATGGCTTATGGCCTACTACCCTGTGTTCAGAAATTTATTTATTGTATGCACAAGGAAGGGCCTTCTTCTGTGTATTTGAGGAGTTGTGTTGAGTGAAATTTGTAAGGAAAACAGACCCATCTGTTCTCTTGGCAGCAGAATAGTGCTTGGGTCCAGAGAAACCTATGAGCATGTGAAGAGCTGAGAGACACTGGCATTTTCTCCTCAGTAGCTCTTGTGGCAAAGAATCCTTGTGTTTTGGGAAATGCTTTCACTGTTTTTAGAGAAAAAAAAACCTCAGGCATGCAGATAACTATGTATGATATTTGGGTCCTTAGCAGTATTGGAACAAATGTAATTTCTAATGTCAGAAGTCAGCTCAGGACATAATTGAAAATTTTCAAAAGCAGATTTAAATGGTGATTCTTACTTAGAACATTGATAATTAAAACATGCCTATTGTCATTTTTAGTCCTTGCAGAGTAGTTATTATTGACTGTAGTTCCAGCTTGCTTTATAACCACATTTTCTGGATGTTGAACAGGTACATTAAAACATAAAATTCCAAACAAATAATGGTACAACAAAATACGTGGATGAAGATACATTTAAAATAATAGCAAGGGGTGGAAGTAATTTGACATATAAAACCAAAACTGGCGGGAAAGCAGAAGATGTAAAAGCACTAAAATAGTTTTTAACACTGTAAACATTTTGAAGAAAAATATTTTTACCTGGCTTGGAATGAAACATAATTTATATACCTAGTTTTTCCAAAAAATAGGATGATTACTTACAACTTTTAACACAGTTTTTTCCCCAACTGACAATGGGATAAAAAGTGATAGTGGAAAATTAAGCTTTCTTAATGTCTGTCCTCCTAGGTGGTGTTATTTTTGTTTCAACATAACATCATTTTCTCCACATCTGTGTTGTTGAGATTGTACTAAGGCTTCAAAATTTTGATGCATGCTAGGCTAGACACAGCCTGCTCATAAGATGCTTCAGAGCAGAATTTTGTGGTCCCAGGCAATACAGCACGAAGATAAATTCCCACCTATATTGAAACTTGCCTAACCCCTGGTAGGGCCTAAATCTGTAAGTTCTATAAATAATTCATTTGATCTTCAACTTTTCCTTCATTCTATCTTCACATAGACTTCATGATTTCAATTTTAGCTCAGCCTGTTAGTTTCTCTTTCAATATATCCTTACTTAGGGGATCCAGTAAAGTTACTGCCTGACCAAGAATTTTAAGTTTCTTTTTCTTATCAACTAGTTGAGAGTTGAGTTGACACTCAGTTGAAAGTCTCATCTAATCAACAAAGTTGACTGCCAGAGTAGGTGCTCAGATATTACAATTGATCTGTGTTATTAAGTAAAGAGCTTTATTGTATTTTCCTGATTTGTTTGTTGGTTATAAGATAATTGTTTAATTTTCACACTTCTCAATATTTTGTTCTGTGCTATTCCTGGGTGGAAACAGACAGAATGAACTTATGTATGAATAATGTCTACTGAGAGAATGGAAATAAGACTAATGTGTCAGCCATCTGTCAGGACCTAGTTTATGATCCAACAACTTTAATCTGTGGAAGATGTTAATGGCGTATTGGAATGGAGTAGTGCCACTAAAACTGTATCTGGAGAAGTCTGTACTTACGTGCTGCATCGCACACACATCCATGCTTCAGTTTCCTGCTCTTCTACTTTATAGTAGTTCTGGCAATGCTTGCAGTTCTCCCGTTCCGTCTTGAGAAAACAGCTATATTGCAGTTATAAAATGGTCTCTGGAGGCCAAAATAGTATATGATACTTTAAAGTTATTGAGTGAAGTGCTCTTGAGAACTTGAATTACAGGTAGTCCTCGACTTACAACAGTTTGTTTAGAGACCATTTGAAATTACAAGAAACTGAAAAAAGTGACTTATGACTGTTTTTCACACTTATGACCATTGTGGTATCCTCTTAGTCATGTGATCAAAATTCAGATGCTGACTCATGTTTACGATGGTTGCAGTGTCCCGGGGTCATGTGATCACCTTTTATAAGCAAAGTGAATGGGGAAACCAGATTCACTTAATAACTATGTTACGAGCTTAATAACTGGAATGATTCATTTAACAGTTGTGGCAAGAAAGGTCATAAAATGGAGCAAAACTCACTTAACAAATGTCTCATTTAGCAACAGAAATTTTGAAAAACTATTTTGATTTTTTCAGTTTTGTGTCTGAAACGAGGATACTGCCTTACTCTTGGTTTGTTTTTGTGTTCTGCCCCTGTGGATTTTGTATGAATATATGAAAATTGACAAGAAACTCGCTATAGTTACTTTGTTCCCATGCAAATCTGGCTTATTGTTGCAGGAAATCAACATTAAAGCAATTTCTGGCTCATTGCAATTTGAGAAAATAAAAATAAAAAGCCAGAAATTAATTAGTTCAATCATGAAAAGTCAGTCAAGATTCTTTTTAAATACTCCCTTACTCTTTGTGCATTTTGTGTATGCATGCATTTCTATCTGGCAATCCTTCTATTTAAATGTGCATGTATTAAATGGGGACCCTTTGGCTTAATCTTGGAAACATTCAGTATTTTTATTGAAAAGTGATAAGGTTGGAAGAAGATGATATTTTAACCAGACATCTAGCAGCTCTTTAGAGTTTTGAGACAATGGAAGTTTTAATCAAAACACTTCATTCAACCCTGAATTAATATTTTCTTTTTTGCATTATATTTCATTCTATTATTTCAGTTCCTGAGGGTTGCATATTGAAGTGTTATATCTGAAGCAAATATTACAAGATTAGTGTAAAATTTTAGCAGGTCTAATATGTTTAAAGGATTGTTGGCTAAAGTCGTGTTATTGTGTATGGGTGATAATATTATCTTTCTGCCATCTGTTGTTGCAGTTGTAAGTCAAGTCAGACCCAATTATGCAATTTTTCCAATGTTGGTTAAGTGAATTACTGTGGTTATTTCACAAATCATTCAGTTGTTAAGCAAATTCCCCAATGGGTATATTTTCCCAGGGATTGGCAAAAAAGGTTACAAATAGTAATCACATAATTGTAGGATCTTGCAACCAGTAGTAAACGCAAGCCAGTTGCCAAGCACTCAAGTTGTGATCACATGACTCTGGGCACCTGTACATGCAAATACACCTCGTAAGTCACTTTTTCTAAGGCTCTCATGACTTCAGAAGGTCGTTAAATGAACAGATGTAGGTCAAGAACTTACCTATAAATAATATTAGTTAACAATTTAGGATTTTCATTGTACTATAATGTCTTCTCTTGGACAAATATGTAATATATCACATGACATGCAGTTGCTTTCTGCTGAATTAAGACAAAATAGTGCATCATTTGTTATATAATAAAGGGAAAATATTCCCACTACCTGGGAATTAGGTATTACAAAAGTCATGATTAAAAGGGCATTTTTGGCAAGGCAGTTGGAGTTAGGAACAGTAATTAGATCTTAGAGTTAACATTAAATTTCATTACATGTATTTGCCAAAAGTAAATTCCTCCACATTACTCTTTAGCAAACCATTTAGTGTAATACATGTTTGGTACCATTTTTTCCATTTCTCTCTCTCCTTTTTCCCCTCTGTTTCTTTAGTTGAGGAACTGGACAGTTGAAGAACTTCAAAGACGACTTGGGTCACTCGATCCCATGATGGAGCAGGAGATAGAAGAGGTTCGCCAAAGGTATCAGTCAAAGCGGCAACCAATTCTAGAGGCCATTGAAGCAAAGAAAAGACGCCAGCAGAACTTCTGAGGAAAACTTGGCAATAGAATAGATGTCCATCATTCCTTACAATAAACTGTTCTTCTATGACTACTGTGTAGGTGGATTTCTATTTCTATTTGCTATAGCACCTTTTCTAACTCAGGTATGCCATTGAATGGAGTCCTCATGAAGAGATCATGCTTTGTATGAATGGTAGATAGATTCTAGATACATTGCGTGTTGCTTTTGAGAAATCTTGACTTAGCTGGGAGCTAAACTTTGTATTATAAATCCATACAAAAGTGGGAAATGGATTTGATTAAGGTTGGTACTCAGATTTTACAGTTTTTACAGTTCAGTTCCAAACAATATATATATATAGTATAATTATCAGAATGTATAGTACATTTTTGTATGAAAAACCCAAGTAAACAGAATAATTCTGACTTAATTTTCTTAGATGAAGTATAGAAATTCAAATTTTTGCTTTTTCGTTGAACTGTTAAAAATGTGAAATCAGAGTCCTTACACACTAATCTATTATCTAAATTGATCCAAAAACATTCATTATTGTTGATATGTAGCAACCACTTGATCTTAAACAGTGCTTACTTTCATTTTGCCCTATTGGTATAATGAATTTTGGAAATGAGTTTAAAAAAGAAGTGATTTATTAGCAAGTTTACATATCCTGCTCCAGCATTTGAAAAAGAATATGAACTTTATCTAGTGTAGAAACCTCTAAGAGCTCCATGCTTTTTTATTTCTTTTTTGAAAGTATTACTTTTCAGTGTTATATTTTTTTCCTTTGTTTTTTATTTTTAGTAGAATCGTAACTCTGAATGAATGCTAATATATTTTCAGTGATGCCTATCAGTTAAAAAACATAATAAATATTTTATTTTCAGTATTTTTTTCAGACTTTGTGGTAGCAGAGGCATGTCAGTTCCCCCCAGTTCAGGAAAAATTAGTATCTCTTTTGATAATAAAGTTATTTAAAATAGTTAAGGAACTGTGGACTTTTGTATTCTCTGCTACTTCAAGCTGAATTTATTTAAATTTGTGGTACTAGTTTTGAATTTAAACTGGAGTAAGCATTTCCTTTTATTTGGAAAAATAAACATATCAGTTGGGATCTAAATAAAAATCTTGAGACCCAAATTAATTTCCAAATACCATTTAGTTAAAAAAAACAACACCATAATACATCTGTGATAAAACAGTTGCCTCATGAATAGATGTTTTGTACAAGTCTCAAGGTTGGATTTCTACTAAGGGAAACTTACGGTGGAATGTGTTCCTGACAGCTTCAGGTTTCATAAGTGTCCATAGAAATCTTCCTCCTTCCACCTACAACATATATGCAACTATTGGAACAACCAAACTACAAAGAGGTCTATATAATTAAGTGGAGTTCAGAGTGTGAAAAAGGACTTGAAATTCTTCTAGTCTTGCAACAGCCTCTTGTGCCTAGTATGTTAATCCTCAAAGGTTCTTTTGACCTGCAAGGATACATAGAAAGGGAGTGGTTGAAATATCATACTTGTGTATGGAAGACTGTGCCTACAGCTAATAATTCTGATGAATGTCTATAATTTATGACACTGCAGTTTGATAACTTCCCTCAGGAACAAAATGAAAATATATGATTACATCCTTGCTGCTTAAGACCTGGAAACATTTGTTTGATACTTAACACACCAAATTGCAGATTGTCATATGGATATATGAACTGCGTTTTGTGTTCCCACAGAACAGGGAAGAAGGATCCTGTTTGGTCCACAAATTCAAATTTTAAATTTAATTTAAATTTTCATTTCTACAATTTTGTCTATCTTCTATCAGGTGGGAAATTGTTGAGTTGGGCCATGCCCTTCTTATTTCTCAGAGAATGATAATTCTAAGTAAGCCATGTTCTTTTTGGTATTGATACTAAGGAAATACTGCTATTGGCTCACTCAAAAACAGTTTGATTCAGTTCTCTTCCTAAAAATGTTACTCCATTAATACCATTGATTCATCCTGGAATTAGAGAACTTAGGAAAAGCCAAGATAATTGATCTATTTCAATTAGCAAACCTTTTGTATAAGTTCAGGGCTGAAAAAAGAAGTGTTAAATAATAAACAGAAGTATTCATGTTCTGCATAAAACAATGTTAGACAGGTACCACATACAAGCTAAACTTGTCAGTTTCTCTTAGTTAAACAATCAGGTTCACAGAAATTTGCCACGAAGACTAGAAACATTGTAATTTGCTATTCAAATTAATAAAACTGGATGCTCACTGTGCCATTGAATTCTGTATCAAGTTTCCCAATTAAATTCTCTTTGCATCTATCTCTTTAGCCTCTACTCTTATAATTCCCCCTATAGAGTTCTCATTCCTGTATAATTCCACTACCCAAATAAAATGGGAATATTTTTTTTAGTAAACTATTAAAATAAATAGCTCCTGAATTGAAGACATTTTGTTTTTGGTAATGATGCTCCTGCAGAATATTTGCATTTAAAATCCTATGTAAATTGAAAAGATGGTTCTTTGGTTAGACATATTTGCCTTTACAGTATAGTACTGGGTAATCGGTGACTATACTTCACTTCAACTAATGGTAAGAAAAGATCTGTGCCTGACAGGACTACATTCTAATCTGTTTTGTGGGTAAAATGTAGAAAAAAAAACCAAGGGAATGAAAAAGTGTAGCAATTATAGCAGTCGAGTTGCTTCCTCAACTTTGAAAAGTACAAGAATTGAGGATTATGTTCAGAATGCCTATTCTTTGTAGTAACTCCAGCTGAAACAGGAGATTCTGATTCCTATTTTGGAGTCTTTTACAAGAATATATCACTTCATTTGTCATCTAAGCTGTATTTTTAAAGTATATATACATTCCATTCCCATGGGTCATATGTACCAACTGAAGTCTTTTGAGTAAACTGTCACCTTTTTCTTTTTCAGTCTTAAATCCACTGTCTAGTTTTAGTTCTGTGAGAAATTAAATGTAAAGCCAGTAGCTTTAATGTTTTGTAATAAAAGTTATACCACTGTAATTTGAATTTCTCTTTTTTTAGAGATCTGGTTGTTTTGTATATAATTGTTTAAATCCTTAGTTTGTACATGAATGAAGATAATTTTTTATCTTATTTAGCTAAATGCAGGAAACTTTTTTTGGATTTAAATATTTGTTTTATAGGAAAAAAATAAACTATTCTGCTTATTATAAAATATTGTCTTTTTCTGTCAATCTAACTTTGTTGAATTACATGTTACACTGAACCACCAACTAACCATGAAATTTAAGTTCGTTCAACATAGCAGAAAATAAAATTGAGTAATTTTAGTTGTACTAGATATGGGCACAGCCCATGTTCACTTGAAGCATGCTTTCATAGGTCACTGTCCCAGTTTCCTTCACTGATGGGCAAAATGCATCAGCAATCTTTGCTTGCCATTTGTCTTTATGATTCACAGGTCAAAATGTAACTTTTGGAGAACTCTTATTTTAGCAGGGATTGTATATTTTTAAATCTCTTGATTAATGTGCATCGATGAATAAAATCCTGTAGAATACGTAAAAGACAGCAATAGGAAATAATTACATTGGGGGTTTTCAATCATTTTGCCAACCTTGCTTTTTTTTTAAAAAAATGCAAACTATAAAAAAGCCTTTTACAGCTGCAGGTTGTACTTTTTTGCTGACATACTTTGGTAGCACATAGACTGTGGGCTTTCCTTTCTAATTAAGAAGTGTAAATCATTTGATAAGATTGGCCATAGTCTCCTCCTGAATAAAACGGAATAACGAGATGGATAGTCCCACTATCAGATGGATTCACAGTTAAATAACTACAGTAGTGGCTAAAATTGTGGAAACCTTTTGGGAAAAGTGTATTTTTGAGGTTTGATGGCTAATAACACCACTTTTTGGGGAGAGTAGTACCATAAAATTATATATCAATGGAAAGATATTTTAATCAAAAATGTAATGCAACAATGTTTGTTCAATTATCTGCACTGTATTCTATGAAAAGTTATAGCCAAATAACCAGAAAAAGGAAGCACAACTTGCTTAGGTTGATATCAGGTAGATTTCCTTCATCTGACTGTAGCCAATGAGCATGAGTGTTTAGAGTGCCAATCAGGTGTCATCTTGTTTTGGCAATGAGCCAATCAGATCACAGTAGGATTCAGTTATTGATATCATGTATTGAAGCCTAGAGGAGGACATTTGTCAGTGTGTTATGTGATCGCTATCAAGTTGGTTGGGTTTTTTTGTGTTCTTTCATTTAGTGAGCTTGTAAAACATAATAAAATTAAAGTAATGGTGCAAAGAGTTGACTGGTTGACCAGAAAGCGACGTAAAATAGTATTATTAAGTGAACAAGGCTATCGTTATAAAGAAATTAGAAGAAAAATTGATGGAAACTTAACCAAAGTTGGCATTTCTACTGTATACTTTTCCCAAAATGTTTCCACAATTTTGGCTACTACTGTATTTGAAAAAAGGGACTTGCGACCCAGATTTGAAAGTCCTATGGCCATTTCCCGTCTCTCTCATGTGACAGAACTTTAGGAACTTAGCAACATGGCTGTGTTTATGGCTGCTTGTAGTCTCTCATGGTCACATGAAGCATTTTGCAATGGTTTTGTTGAAAACCATCACTTCCAGTTTTCAGCAAAACTGTGCCATAGTGATAATGGTTTGTTTAATGACTGCGCATTTGCTTAACAACCAGAAAATGTTGTGAAATGACATGATGTCTTAGACTGTAATGGGAAGGCACCATTACGATTGTAACTCAAGGACTACCTGTATTTTGGTTCAGCTTTCTCCAAAAGAAAGTGAGTGTTCCACTTGACATTGTGAGGATCAGAATGAAGGGGTGAGACTAATGTTTGAAATCAGTAAGTCTCTTTTTTTTTTTAAATCGGGTAACCTCCTTAATACATTCTGGGAATTTTTCAGATGAACTACATTGAGGCTCAGTTCAAGGGAAGCTTTATCTTTCCTTTTATTGTTGGAATAACGATACTTATATGTATAAAGTAAGTCTTAAATCAAGAACTCCTAAAGTATTTAATCTTAATAAAACATAATAATAAAAGCTTAAACAATACATATAAAGGCACTCCAGGCACAGTTGGAAGCATATACAACTTCCTAGTTGTTAAAATATATGATGGCATTCTCTGGAACTGATTTCCCAAGAGTTATGCCACGGTGCTATCATCATTCACTGGCAGTCTTAGGTCTGTTTTCAGCGCTGGACCAATTCTGAGATTTTCTATAAGTAGCATTACTTTTTTCATGTAAATTTTATCATGGTTCATGGTTTTGGGTACTGTTTGATTGAAAAGTGACTTGTCTCGTAG